GATATAAATGACCATGAAATAATGAGTGATAACAAATTAACTTTTTTTTTCAAACCCGTAGCAGATTTAACAAAGGGACAAGAATTTTATTTTGGGTTTTTTTTAAAACATCCAAAAAATTTCGTTTGTTTTTTTTCCAAACGACAGTTTATAAATTATTAACTTTATTTTATTTTACTTGCTATTTAAAAAGGTAGAAAGATTTCTTAGAGGAGCTTATTTTAAAGTTGTTTAAAAAATTAAAAAAAAATTACCTTTTGCTTTGTTTTTTTTTTTTTTAATCAATTTTAGTTAAAAAGAATTTGTGTTTTATATTTTGTGATATTTTTCGTTTTTTAAAAGTAATAGGTATTAAAATATATAGGTATTACTGCCTTTGTACGGATCCACAAAATCTTGCTAAGAAAAATTGAGAAAAAATTTAATTATAGAGAGATTTTTTTTGGGTTGATTGAATTTTAGTTAAGAAGATTTTTAAAAGAAATGTTTTGAAAGTGTGATTGAAAGTCTGTGTGTGGTGTATGGTGGTGATATGTATAAAACAAATGGTGTAATTTGTTATTAAAATGTAATTGTTTAAAAGAAATCCATAACCGTGTTTTTAACATGGACCAATTAAAATAATTTTGTTCCTATGTTTCTTAAATGATTTCATTCCTTTTCATAACTGGTAATATTGATTTCGTGTTGAAATTTAAAAAAAAAATATTCTTATATTTTCATAATTATTTTCTAATTTTGGACTGAATTATTTTTTTTTGATTTTATGGTATTTTATCAATAATGATGGAATAAGAACTTCTTAGCGTTGAGGCTGTTGAGTCTCTCCGATCTCAGAATTGTGCTTGAACTACTCTTGTTTGTCGCTCTATATGGTCTTTCCACCCGGGAGCATGTTACCGTGATTATCTTCCCTCATCTCAATCGGGGAGAGAAGAGGAATGGAATATAAATTGTTAATGAGCAAATGTATCCTCAGAGAACTACATAATCTGGTACCACGGGAAGCAGCAGCACACAGAACAGAGTTTCGGACTTCTTCCTTCATCCTGGTGCTGTTGCAATCCAGCGGAAAAGAGGTGCTACCAATACCTCTAGTCTGCAGGGACTATAAACTGCTGATATAATCAAGGGTGTCCTTCGGTTTTACTTTGAATGATTTGACTTCGGGTTCAAACCAGGGAACATTTAACATATTTAAGAGATCAAAAGAGTACAATCCAGCCAAAACGGAACTTTTTCTTTTCACCAGAAAATACAAGTTACCCACTTTCACTCTTCGTTGCTGGAATGGGGTCGAGTTAGAGTTATCTGATAGTGTGAAATATCTAGGAGTTATCCTGGATTCGAAACTATCATCGCACTTGAACACTCAATTCAGAGTGAACAATGCGGCTGCGCCTCTATACTCATGCAAAAGAATAAGAATACAAAATGGCTCTTCCACATGGTAGTTGATAGAAGCTTTTCAGTGTCGATTCAACACGATCCAAATGAGATGTAATCTATCCTCCTTGATGGTTCGTATCAGGTCTTCACCGATGGCTTTGAAGTTTCTTTCAAACTTCCTGACCAATGTAGCGTATTTCAGGCTAAACAACCAGCCATAAAATGGGCTGCAAACTGGCTCAGGCTCTATCGAATATACCATGATTATATTAGAATTTATACCGACAGTCAGGCTACCCTAAGGGCTATAAGTGGTGTTTATACAACATCACACCTAGTCCTAGAATGCCGGGCATTTCTAAATGAGATGGCGAAACATTCCACAGTGGGACTGTACTGGATTCCAGGTCATCAACAGATACCTGGTAATGCCATCGCGGACTCTCTGGCGAAAGTGGGTTCAAGCTGCAAACGCTTGCTCTACGAGCTTACGCAATACATATGGTCGATTGAGGCTACCTGTAGACTGGCGAGGATCATATGGCCGTCGTATGATCCACGTAGATCACGAGCCCTTATTCAGTTTCGGACAGCAAATCTACGAAACTTAATTGCAGTGGTGATTGGCCACTGGCCTTTTGGGCTCCATGCTAGAAGACTAGACTTTCTTAGTAATGACTTATGTAGGAGCTGTCAAGACGAAGAGGAAGAAGAGAGTACTGTTCACTTCATCTGTTGGTGTCCTGCTCTAGCAGAGCATAGATTGAATCTGCCAATGTCATGCACGGTTAAACGGAACTATTCGAGGCTGACATCCGAAGGATAGATTCCTTTATTCGTGCGACAAAATGGTTTGGATAGAAAATCAGAGTAGATGGGTAGAAGTGTACTAATACGCCGACCGTTTTTCTCTTTTCAGGTATCACAAAGGGATCAGCGATGTGAACCCAAGTGTGTCCCTAATGCGAACAACAATGGACAGCAAGAGCTCAAAAGCCCTATTCGAGTGTTATGGTTGCATGGAGTCTATACAAAATAATGGATTGATTTTAACCATTTTCAATAAGCTTCGTACTTCGTCTCCGCCAAAAGAGGAGTTGTGCCAAATTTCATTAAATTATCTTGAAAATTGCCACCAGTAGAGTGCGCACAATCTTTAGATGGACACATAGACAGACAGACAGACAGACAGACAGACAGATAGACGGACAGATGGACAGACGGACAGACAGACAGACAGACAGACAGACAGACAGACAGACAGACAGACAGACAGACAGACAGACAGACAGACAGACAGACGGACAGACGAACATAGCTAAATCGATTGGTATACTTTAATGGGGATGTCGAACAATTATTTTTGGGTTTTACAAACATCAGCACAAACGCATAATACCCTCCTCACTTTAGCGGTGTAGGGTATAAAGAACAAGTAGAAATTATCTTTTTTATCTTTTAGGGTTCATAAAGTATTTGTTAATAGTATACGCACAATTGGGACGAACGACGAATTTTTCGGAACAAATATTCGTCGTCAGAAATAGAACACACTTCGGTATATGAAAATGTACACAATCATTGCGTATGACGAAATTCGTCGTACGTAACGAACTATGCGATAAGATTATTTCTATTTCTTACGCAGACGAACGACGAATTAATTGGGGAAAATTGTTTTATGACCAATTCCGGTAGCCCGAATTTGCTGAAATTTGGCGGTTGTGAGTACAGCTAATGACAATACAATATTATGTTCGAATATTCGAAGTTATGTTCGAAAAATTATTTATGCTTTTAAAATAATCTCTCGGTCATAAAAACTAAAAATAAAATTTTCGAAAATTCGAACTTAAGTTCGAAAATTTTTTTAAGCCATTAAAACCAGTTCTCGTGGCCCGAATTGTTTGAAATTTGGCAGTCTGGAGTACACTTGATGACACTACAATGCAATGTTGGAATATTTTAAATTAAGTTCGAAAATTCGAAGTAATGTTCGAAAAAATTTTGAAGCTATTAAAATAATCCCAGAATTGGGGATATTCACAAAAATATAATTTGTTTTTTTCGAGGCCAATTTCTTACATTTTCTAATTTCGAAATAATGTTCGAATAAATTTTAAAGCTGTTAAAATTATCTCAAAATCGTGAAGATTCACAAAACTATAATTTTTGTTCCTTTTTCTTACTTTTTTCGAATTTCGAACAAACAAATTTTGAAACGAATTCGTAGTACGAATAATTTGATTGTGTTCCATTCGACGAATTTACGCAACGAATTGTTCTCGACTAATTCGTCGTGCTATGCGAAATTCGTCGTTCGTCCCAATTGTGCGTATACCATAACATCTTTTTATTTCCTTTTGTCCATATCACTTACCTAAATTGAACAAAATTTTCATCTAATATGGTACTTGAGTACTTCTGAAATTCAATATTTTCATATGTTTTCAGACAAGTTTTATTAGTAATAAAACGCCATAATATATTTTTGCCTTTTTTAAATCATTATTATTATTTTTTTGTTTGTTAAGGATTTATAAGCCTTTATTTGATGTTATTTTTTGTTTGTTTTGTTAAATGGTTTTGTTTTTGGTTTCTAGAAATTTAATCTAATACTTATAATTTCAAACAAGTGGTTGTTATAAATAGTAATTAAATGCATAAATAAATAAATAAGTTTATAAATAAATAGAGGAATAAATTATTATTTAAATGAGGAAATAAATTAATACTTAAATTATATATAAATATTAATAAATTATTTTTAAATAAATAAGTCTTGTGGTTGTCCTAAAAAAATAAACTACAAATTTTAACTTAAAGGAATATTTGGTAAAATAGAGTAAGAGTTAACAAGCTCTTAAAAACAAAGACAAAAAACGGAAACATTTCAATGAGGCATTACTCTCCCTGCTTAGGTGTGTTAAGCTTTAATTAAACTGCTTGGGCGAGTAATGTGTTCACACTGTTGGTAATATTGAGTTCACACAGAGAGAATGGTTTATAATTTTGTGTTATTAAGGGAATGTATGTTAAGTTAGGAAAGTGAATTTATGTTTCCGTTTACCTTTGCTTTTCGGATTTGTTTTTCTACACGTTTTGTTTGTTTTGCTTTTTATTTGGTTGCTTATAAAAATAAACTTATTGCAAACTTAATTATGTTTAGTTTTCTTTTTTTTTGGAATAAATAAATTAATAAATTATAGAAATTATTGTGGGTTTTATGGGGAAATATACACATATAATACACAGACATAAGGAAAATGTTTATAACATACACATAGACTTTTTTTCATAATTTGTTTATAATTTTTTGTTAATTTTTTTTTATATTTTTTTTTTGTATTTTTTTTATTTTTTAGTTAATTTTAATATTTTTAATAATAAACTTTTTTTGTGTTTTTTGTTTTGTTAAACTACTGGCTAAATCTTAAGGCTAAAACTTAGAAAAAAAAGGAAAACTATTTATAGTTTTCTTACTAAATTTTAATTTATTTTTTATTTTAGTTTCTAAGTTTTTTTATTTAAATATTTCTTAAAGTTTTTTTTTGTTTGTTTCAAAAAATTCTTTGTATTTTCTTTAATAATTTCATAACAAAACAAAAACTAAAAATTGAAAAAAACTTACAGTCATTTTTATTTACTATTTATCTTAAAGTTTTCTTTCAGTGTATAAACAGAAAATATATATATATATATTAATGTGTTTTTAATATAAAATTTTGGTTTGTGGTTTTTTAAGCCAAGGATTTGTTTTACTTAGATTTTGGTTTTTTTTTGCTTGTTATTAGTTTTATATTAAAGTCTATTTACAGTTAATTAAGGTTATTTTTTTCACTAAATATGTACCTCACCATGATTTTGGGTTAAAACATATTTTACTTGGCTGGCTGTCTGACTATTGGCTGCCATTATAACGTTAACATGGGGTGAAACAGTTGCCTGTTTCTCTTCTAAATCTTCTTCATCATCGTTTTCATCTTCACAAAAGGAATAACCTAAATCTTCTTCGTCATTCTCTTGTGCTGCGGAGTTTTTGCTTAATTGTTTTTTATTTTGCTGTTGCAGTGTATGAAACAGTTCTAGTTGATGTAAATTGTGTCTACTGCCAGCTTGATTACTGGTCCAGAGATCAGGATTGGATTTAGTTAACATTTCTAAAGCTTCCAGGGAAGCTGCTGGATTTAAAGCCGTAGAAACTGGTCGTTTCGAGTCTAAGGGGTTTGAGTCTTTGGGTTCTTTATAGGGCTTGAAAACTTTGGCTAAGTCCTGTTCAGTTAAAATACTTTCTTCTAAAGGGAGTTGAGAGATTTCTGCCTGATCTTTTAGCTTATTAGAAGAAGAAGCAAACACCAATGATTTTCGGGCTAAAAATGATGTGGAACGTTTTGGAGAGTTTGTTGTATCAGTTTGGCTACTTAAAGTGGAAAGTTTGTAAGCTTGTGCTTCTTGTGAGAGAGTTTTGTGATCCTGAGTAAATCTAGTTTTAGAGAGAGCTTTTGTAGAGTTATGCAAATCTTGTGGATTTGTGTTCTTCTGCTGATTCCTATTAGCATTTAGATCTGTTTTCCTATGTTCGCTTAATTGAGAAGTTCTATTAAGAGTGGAGACTTTAGGAGAGTTGGTAGTTTGAGGAGAATCTATTGAAGTTTGAGGATTTCTATTCTCATCCATAACTAAAGCATAAGTTCCAGAATTTCCAGAAATTTTGGAGGAAAGGGAGACCTTTGGAGAGTTTGTAGACTCTCTTGAAATCATCTGACTTTGAGCATTTCTATTCTCATCCATGAAGAAAGTATAATTTTCAGAATTATCAAAAGTTTTGGAGGTAGTGGAGACTTTTGGAGAGTTTTGGAAATATTCTCTAATATTTTTAGAATCTTGTAGCGATTGAGTCATAGAAGAGTGTTGAGTAGTATTGGAATTAGCTGAAACATTACTCTCACAATCTAAAGAATTTTGTAGAGTTTTGGAATAATTGGACACATTCGAAGAGCCCGAAGACTTTACACTATCATTACGAACACAAGTGTTAGAAGAGGTTCTATAAACTTGACTATTAATGCCACTATCTATAGAGTCCTGGGAATAGTTACGTATGGTAGAGACTTTCGATGAACTTTCTCTACGGACACACCGAGCCACCGAGTAATCAGGCTCAACCTTTGCAGGGGAGGTATCTTGATTTGTTCTACTTAAGGAGGAGACTTTGGGGGAATGAGGATTTGATACGTGTTCCAAATGTCTTGGTGTTGCAACTTTCTTGGCTGTAGTTTGGCAAACTTGATCTTCTTCTGCATCACTTTGATATGCGTCAGTTTCTATGACAGTTTTCAAGAGATTAAGAGCTCTTGGAGAATGTATAAATTGAGAGGATTTCTCTGCAGGTTCATTTTTCGTTGTCGAAGAATCAGTCTCTATAACAGTTTTAAGTAAATTGAGAGCCCGTGGAGAATTAATAAAATGTTGACCTTTGCCGAGATCCTCTCTACTAGGCTTGACGGTTTCTAGAGTAACTTTGTTTGTCTGAGCTAAGGTTGGTGGTCTGAAATGTATATCCTCATATAGAGAGTTGGTTTGAGAATCGGCATTAAATTCCCTCAAACTTATAGAACTTGCCTCCTCTACTTCGGAAGTTTGCGAGGAATAGGGATCATTTAGAAAGTCTTCTTGTCGTTTCAGACGCTGTGTTAAATTTGTAAAATCTCCCGAGTCCATATATTTCTCCTCATCTTTTAGAAACATCTCTACGGTGCCCACATATTCCCTAACATAGTCAATCGAATCCTCACTTTCTTCGGAAGGTTGTATGGGTTTGAAACTAACATTTTCGTCGAGTTTATAGGGACGAAATACTAAAGGACCCTGCTTAGCATAAGGTTGCGTACTAGAAATATCTGGTGAGGAGTATTGGGATTCTAAAGAACTTTGTTGGTGTTGTTGTTGCTGTTGTAACCTAAGCTGTTGTAGCTTACATATGTCTTGGCCAGCCACAGTTTGTGTGGGCTGAAAATGAAAACTATGATATTTACGTAAAGGTAATTTAACAGGACGTTCCATAAAACCCTCTATTTGGGAGGGTGTTGTTGTTGTATTTGCGTTATCTTCTAATGTTGTATATAGTTTGGTGGTATTAGACAAACTTCTATTATGACCAGTTCTAACCACTTGATTGACATAACTCTTCTTTTTTTCTACACTATCCACCACATCACAATTTAAGCTCCGATGTGGTTGACTAAATGTTTGTTCACCCTTATCCTGATAGTCATGGGTGGCTTTGGCAGCGACAGCATTAACATTATACTCATTATCAGCAACATGTATGATGACTTCATTATGTATACGTTTCTTATCATCAGAAGCAATTTTACAATTGTTGTTGTTGTTATTGTTGTGGACAGCATTTTTGTGCATTAGCATTTGTTGTTGATGATGTGTGGCAAATTGTTGGCGTGATGATGTTGTTGTTGCTGCTGTTGCATTACATGCTGAGGAGTATGATAATGATGATGTAGATTGTTGATTTTTGTTGTATTGTTGTAGGCCAGTTTGTTGTTGTTGTTGTGATTTATAAGGGCTACATGCTGTTGCTGCTGCTGGTGCTGATGATTGGGTGTCACTTGCTGTTGTTGTTGTTGTTGCTGCCTTGAACGCGTTCGCGGATTTGGCGCAATAATTGTGGGTTTTATTGTTGTTGCTGCTGTGACTGCTGCTGTTATTGATGTTGGTGTTATTAGATTGTCGTCGACATTCGTTGATGTGCTTGATATGTGCGTAGGGGTCGCTGATAGTCTGTCGTCGATGTAATTTCTTATGACAGGTGGTGGCGGTGGCGGCGGCAGGATTTGTTGCTAAAAATGGATTATTTGCAAGGGATTTGCGTTTGTTTAGCTGGTTAGTTGCAGTTATTTTAGTGTGTAGTTATGTTTCATTTCAATTTAGTGTTGCGGTTAGTGTTTGTTTAGAACCAAAAAAAAAATAATATTATTTTTACAAAAAAAGCAACATATTAAAACAGAAACATAAAATCCATTAAATTAATTTAGTGTTAACATGCACATTTGTTGTGTTTTTATTAGGTGGGGCGGTGGTTGGAGAGGACATACACATTTAACAATTTTCGTTTTATGAAAAGAAACAAAAAAAATGAATTAAAAATAAAAATTAAATTAGTAAAAATAAAAACATTAATTGGAAAATGAAATAAAAAGTTTATAGAATTATTTTAACAGATTTAAATAAATTAAATAAAATCAACACATTTTTAAAGGAGTCAAATACTATTTGTCAAGTGTAATGGCTGCTATTCAATTTTGGTAAATAATCCTATTTTGTCACATAATTCTAAAACTTTTCTTTTATACTAAAGCTTTTAAATTGTATATAAAGTTTCCTACATACTTTAAAATTCTATAATAATTCCACTAACTTTTCTCTATGAAAAAGCTTTTATTTAAAATGTTTACTTTCAAAAATTTTGTAACTCAAAATTATTTATTTGAAGGTTAAACGCTTCTTTAACAAAAGCTTTAAGCCATTTTTTACAAAAAAATTAAAACTTTAGAAATCTTAAAATTTTTTAAAAATTTAACTTTTATAGATCGAACTTAAATTTGTTACTCCTCAAGTTTTTATTCATAACAGAACGTTTGTCTTTTTGAATTGATTTTTCATTTTGTAAAAACTTTTTTACAAACTGCATAGCTTTCAATGACAAAAGCTTCATATTAGTATTTTTTCACCACATGACAGAACTTTAAGGTTTATAAAGCTTAAAAAACGAGCTTTTTAAAATTTATGCATCGTTCTGAAGAATGAAAGCTTTTCTTTCAACATCCTAATTTGAGCATTTGCTCTAGTTTATATTTTACTATATAAAAGCTTTTAATATATAAAACTTCTCTAGTACAGATTTATAAATAGATCAGTATTTTTAAAGTTTATACATCGTTCTGAAGAATGAAAGCTTTTCTTTCAACATTCTAATTTCAGCATTTGCTCTTGTTTATATTTTACTATATAAAATCTTTTAATATATACAACTTTTCTCGTGCAGTTATATAAATAGATCACTCTTTTCTAATCTTTCGAAGGTGTTATTTATCAATTGATTTTTCTATTTGTGGAAAGCTTTTTTACATATTTTTATTGCTATAGCATCTAAGCTACTGAAAAGCTTTAAAACTTCATCACTACTTATTATCCAGACTTTTGAAATTGGAAACTTTCTTTAAAATTGTAACTTTTCAAAGATTTCTAAGTAAAAATTTTTTAACTCAAAAATTTTATATCAAAAGCTTTTTACTCAATATCAACGCTGTTATCAAGAAAAAACTTTTGCTTTATCTAAAGTATTTAAATTGTAAATAAGTAAGCTTTTTATGTTATGCTTTTAAGTTTACTCTTTATCTTGTAAAAGCTTTCATACAGAGTTAACTTTCTTTGTTAACGTTTGTAAATGCAAAAAGCTGCTTAAGAGCTATGAGCTTTTTTTCCCACAAAAATTGTATAATTTAGAGAAAGCTTTAGAAATCATTTCAATATCAATTAATATGTTTATCATTATTATTTTTTAAAGCTTTAAGAATTCCATTAAGCTTTTTGAAAAGCTTTAACAATTAAATCTTTGAAGACTACGCAAAACTATTGTAACGTTTTTAGCGTCTTTTGTTTTATTCTAAAGAACTTTTGATACTTTAAGCTTTCAAAAGAACGTTTATGTTTGAAAAGCTTTTACAATTAAAGTTTTGATTTGTGAGCTTAAACATTTGTGTCTTTGAAGACTATACAAAACATTATTTTTAAGTTTATTCTTAAAAGCTTTCATACTGAGTTAACTTTCTTTTGTTAAGGTTTGTAAATGCAAAAATCTGCTTGAAAGCTATAAGCTCTTTTCCAACAAAAATTTTATAATTTAGAGAAAGCTTTAGAAAACATTTCAATATCTATTAATATTTTTATCATTATTGAAAGAATTTTTTTAAAAGCTTTTAAAATTTCATCAAGCTTTTTGAAAAGCTTTAACAATAAAATCTTTGAAGACTACGCAAAACTATTGTAACGTTTTTAGCGTCTTTTGTTTTATTCTAAAGAACTTTTGATACTTTAAGCTATCAAAAGTATGTTTATGTTTGAAAAGCTTTTACAATTTAAGCTATATTTTATGAGCTTAAACATTTATGTCTTTAACGACTCTACAAAACATTATTTTTAACACCTTTGCTTTCTTTATTCTAAAGATCTTTTAAAACTTTAAGCTTTCAGGACGATTGAAAAGCTTTTCAATTTAAGAGTTAATTGTCTGCTCTTAAACTTTTGAAAGCTTTTCCAAAAGCTTTTCTTTATACATTTTCTCATGTGAAAACACTTTTAATATATGAAAATATGAAAGCTTTTACATAAAGCTTTCAGAAAAATTAAGACTTATCGTTACTAACTAAAGTTATTAAATGCTTAGAAAGTGTAACAATTTAAACTTTCAAATTATAACAAAAGCTTTTTATGAAAATTTAAGCTCTCGTCATTCAGCTTTACAAGAGTCCATAATAATGTTTCTAGCCTACAGGTGGAAAGTCTGTTTGGAAAGCTTTTCTAGCTCAAATATTGATCTCGTCTTGTACTATTCTAAAATTTTACTCCTTTAAAGCTACATAAAACTACAAATAAAAAAGCATTAACAAAAGCTTTAAAGCACATTTATATACACACACTCTTGTATTGTTTTTTTTTTTTTTTTTTTTTGGTAATTCTCCTCTCAAACACAAAAACTTACCTCCATATGATTAATAAGAGCACCCTGACCATTAAGTCTTTGCTGCTGCTGTTGTTGCTTTTTACATTTAACTCTTCCTCCAGCATTACTGCCGCTAGCACTAACACTGCTAGCCACCGAAAGCGAAGACGAAGAATGAGCATGGGCATGATGACCCAATTGATATTGTTCAAACTCTTCGGGTGTTGAGATTTCCGGAGGTTGCTGATGACGATTACAACGCTGATTAATAGCGCTTAATGAAGATTTATTATTACCTCCACCGCCGCTATAGAGAGATGTAGTGGAGGACAGAGAAATTGGATCATTGCAGGTGTTGTCATTTTGCGATGATGAGGCGGACTCATAGGCCGAGGTGGCCATAGTTGAAGAGGGTGAGGAAGGCCTTTCTAAATTAGAGATATTGTTAGAGTTAAGCTGCTGAGGCGGTTGTTGATCGTTAACATTCATATAGAGAGGAGTGGGAGGCACTCGGGGAGCCGGTTTTTTGTGCGACGAATTAAAATGGGCGGTGACGGCTGTATGAGCCAGAGTTTGATTCTTATGACCCTTGGGTGTTTTGGGGGTTTTAGGAGTTCTAGGCATTTTACCCGGGGGTGGAGTACTGCCCGGTGTCTGTGTGCTAGAGGGCAAAGGTGTTACACATTCATATGATGAATTCGAAATGCCCGAGTCACTGCGATAAATACTCAGACGTTCGGGTTCTATAAGATTTAAATCCTCTTTAGGCTGGTGTTGGCGTTGGTGATGTTTTTTCTTAGGACCCTGTGATCCTCCCGCAATGCCATACGGCAAGGGATGCAATAAAACAGTAGCTGTTTGAGCGGAACCATTTAGACCCTCAGGCAATTCCATATCACTAACAGCTGCATTATGTACCTGCACGGCATCATTAACATTCTCATAAGCAGGAGGATCATAGAAATTCATATGAGGATTTCTTACAGGGCCCTTGGGATCAATATCGCCAAGGCTACCACCAGCAAAAGAATGATGTCTTTTACATTTATTGGCTGAAGACAATAGTGAACCGAAAACACCCCCTCCGGTTAAGCCTGCAGAGGTAGAGCCATTAAATGAGTGATTGATATTTAAGGCTGCGGCAGCTGTTGATGATTTGTTGCTCTGCTGCTGCTGCTGTTGTTTCTGTTTGTTACTGTTGCCGGTGAATTTCAAAGAATAGAAACGTTTATCCTCCAATTTATCGGCAAATGTTTTACGTTTGCCTTGTCTTTTCATGGAAGCTGTCTGATAGTTTCCCGCCTGCAGATCCTCATCACCAGATGTATCGAATTTCTTGAAATTGCTAACAGCCAAAAAGGGATTTGTTGATTTTGTTGCATTTGATTGCTGTGGTGGCTGTTGACGTTCGACCACAGCGTATGTATTGAAATCATGTTCAATTGCATTTATCAGGTGAGAGGAGGCGCCAGCTATGCCACCTGCATTATTAAATTTTTGTGAAAATTGTTGAGGCGGCTGCTGCAGCTGCTGGGAATGAGGATGTTGTTGTTGTTGCTGCTGTTGTTGTTGATAGTATTCTGTGTAGCTTTTGGGAAAGCAATTATTGAGATTATATGTCATTTGATGAGGATTTGTGTTTGTCGTTGCTGCTGTTGTATTGTTGTTGCTGCCATTATGCACTATAATACCGGCATCATTTCTAACAATATTTGCTGCTGTTGAGTTTGGTATTAATGTCTGCATACCAGGCAATGTTGCTGATGCACTGGTAGTTGCTGGATGGCGATTGTAGGGCATGGTACTGTATTGTTGTTGTTGTTGCTGCTGATAATACTGTTGTGTATGTGGCTGCTGTGTTTCCGTTTCATGTTCATCGTAATAGTTTGCTTGTATTGTTGTTGCTGCTGTTCCTGTATTTTGGCTGATATTTCCATTGAGTCTCTTGGGTCGTGGTACACTGCGCACCACATTTGTGTTGTTATTAAAATTTGTAGGAGTCGTAGGAGTAGTAAACTATTTATTTTTTTTTTATATTTTTTTATTTAAAATTCCAGTGTTTTGTTTTTAAGAGTGTGTTTTGTTTTGTTGGAGGGAGAGCATTATTTGGCGCATTTTGGTTTTAATTACAGTAGCACAAGCATTTCAAGCATTAGTTGTTTTATTATTAATTATTAATATGTTTTTTGTTTTGTAGTAGGGAGCGGGTTTTTAATGCACATATAAAATAAACATAAAAAAGATATAAAGAAATGGGTTATTTTTTTATATTAACGTTTAGTTTAATAATATAGTTAGGGTTAATTAAAGGGTTTTAGGGTTAATTATACATTAATATTAATAAAAATTTCGATTTTGTTTTTTCTGGTTGTGGGAGAAAAAAATTGTAAAGGGTGTTTAAAAATAAATACATTGAGTTGATTTTGGTGACTTAAAATAAAGAAAACATTTAGACAAATTTAGAAATTAATATAACATTTTGAAAAGCTTTTAAATTTGATTATTTTACACAAAACCACTTCTGTGCAGAAAAAATCATTATTAATGAAACTTCAGCTTATGCTTCCTTCTCAATATATCTAAACCAGGTACAATGACTCAAAAGCCTCTATATAAGTGGTGTCACTTTAAGTTTCCTGGGTCGTATGTATCTTGGAAAGACTATATAGTAGAACAAGACTAAATGCAAACCAATAACTCTAAACTCTAAAGTAGACTTGACTCATGACTTAACTCTAAACTAAAGCTAACTCTAGACAATTCTGTAGGCCAGACTCTAGACTGGAATCTAGACTAGATTCTTGGACAGTCTCAAGATTAGACTATAAACTAGACTCTATACAATAGTATAGACAAGACTCTAGATAATGGACTGAAAACTAAACTCTAGGAACGGCTCTATACTAGGCTTTAGACTAGATTTTTACAAGACTCTAGATCAACATCTAGACTAAATTCTAAATCAGACTTAAAAATATACTCTATACTGGAATCTAGGTCAGAATATGGACTAGATTCTAGACTAGAATCTATACTAGACTTAAGACTGTTATCTAGACAAGACTCTAGGCTAGCCTTTAGATTAGACCTACACTAAACTCTAGACTAGACTCCAGAAAAGAACCACTCCTACTAGACTTTAGACTGAAATCTAGATTAGATTATATATTTTACTCTAGAAAAAGCGTTGGATCAGACTATAAACTCGACTAGAGATCTAAACTTTAGACTAAATTACAGTCTAGAGGCTAGACTTTCGACTAGACTCCAGATAAGACTATAAACTAGAATCTAAACAAAACCATATAATTGACTCAAGGCTTGAGTTCAGTCAGACTCAATCTAGACTAGAGTCTAGACTTAATCAATATTGGGTCAGACTCTATACTAAACTATAAACATGACTAGAGATCACTAGAGATCTATGCTAGTCTAAACTATAGACACAGCCTAGAGGCTAGACTTTCGACTAGACTATAAACTAGAATCTAAACTAAACTAAAGAATTGACTCAAGACTGAACTCAATACTCAATCTAGACTAGATTCTAGACTCAATCAACATTGGATCAGACTCAATACTAAACTATAAACTTGACTAGAGATTACTAGAGATCTATGGTAGACTAAACTATAGACTAAATCACAGTCTATGGGCTAGACTTTCCACTAGACTCCAGGAAAGACTATAAACTAGAATCTTAACTAAATTGTAGAATTGACTCAAGATTGAACTCAAGACTCAATCTAGACTCTACACTTAATCAATATTGGGTCAGACTCAATACTAAACTATATACTCGACTAGAGATTACTAGAGATATATCTTAGACTTTCAACTAGACTCCTGACAAGACTATATAGACTAGAACCAAAACTAAACTATAGATTTGACTCAAGACTGAACTCAAGACTCAATCTAGACTATACTCTGGACTCAATCAACATTAGATCAGACTCTATACTAAACTATAAACTCGACTAAAGATCACTAGAGATCTAGTTGACTAAACTATAGACCAAATCACAGTCTAGCAGCTAGACTTTCGACTAAAATCCAGACAATACTATATAGACTAGAATCAAAACTAAACTATAGAATTGACTCAAGACTGAACTCAAGACTCAATTTGGACTAGACTCTGGACTCAACCAACATTTGATCAGACTCCATACTAAACTAAAAACTCGACTAGAGATCACTATAGATCTATCCTAGACTTTCGACTAGACTCCAGACAAGACTATACTAGAATCTAAACTAAACTATAGAATTAACTCAAGACTCAATTTAGTGTAGACTCTATCTGGGCTATACTCTAGACTAGAGTGTAGACAATCCTTTAAACCAGCCCACAGATGAGACTATAGACTGGATTATAGGTTATACTCTGAAATATACATTGGTTCAGATTAAAGACTGTACTCTTAAATAGACCAGAGGTCACTCTAGACTGTAGACTAGATTATACTTTAAAATAGAATATATACGTAATTCTATACTATACTAGATTCCCATCTAGACTATATTCTCGTCTAGTTTCTAGATTTAATTACAGCCTGGAATCTAGTCTGTAGACTAGAATGTTGACTATACTCTAGACCGGGCAGTGGACCAGAATATATGCAATGCTCTAGACTAGAATCTAGACTGTAGTATAGACTCTAGACTTTCGATTAAACTTTCTATTAGATTTAATACTAGACTCTTGATAAAACTGTAGAATAGACTAGTAGACTAGAATTGATTGTAGATAAGACTCTAGACTAGACACTAGACTCGACTCTATACTAGACACTAGACTAGACTTTGGACTAGACACTAGATTACACTCTGGACTACACTATAGCCTAGACTCTAGATCACGCTCTAGACAAGAATATACACTAGACTCAAGACTAGACTCTAGACCAGATTCTAAACAAGACACTAGACTGATCTAGACTATGTCAGACTCAAGACTAGATTCTAGACAAGACTCTAGACTAATTTCTTGACCAGATTCTAGACTAGACTGTAGTCTGAACTAGACTCTAGCCTAAATACTACTCCGGAATGTATATTAGAATCTAGTCTAGATTCTACACCAAATTTTAGACTAGATTTTCTACTAGATTATAGATAGAACTCTAGAATAGACTATAGACTAGACTCTAGCATAGACTTTAGGCTAAACTCTATAGCATACTCTTGTCTCACTATAGACTAGACTATGTACTAGGATCTAGACTAGACTCTAGACTAGACTGTAGACTAGACTCTATTCTGGACTATAGACTAGACACTATTCTGGACTATAGACTAGACTATACTCTGGACTGTACTGTAGCCTAGAATATAGACTACATTATACACTGCAGTGTACTCTAGCCTAGACAGTAGACTAGATTATGTGCTGGACTTTAGACTAGTCTTTAGATTATACCCTAGGCTAGGCTTTAGGTTAGACTCTAGGCAAGGCTTTAGATTATTTTAGACTCTAAATTTGGGTTTCTTAACGGTACATTGATTTATATTGATCCAAACAACTTTTGACACAAAAACCTCTTACTACTGACCGTCAAACGAAAGTCTTATATAAATTAGAAGTGAATAATGATAACATTAAGGTTAATTGTAAAATTTAAAACCCAATTTTAAAAGCTTTTCAAAAATATTTAAAAAACAAAATTCTTAAAAATTACAACAAAGATAAAACTCTTAATAATAAAAGTTTATGAATCAAGAATACACAGTAATTATAATAAAACTAAAAAATAATTAAATAAAATTATTAAATATACATATAAATTAAGAAATAATTTTAAAAATTAATAAACTTAAACTACAATTAAACTAAAAATAGAAACCAAAAACAAATTGTTTATAATAATAAAAAGTAGCTAAAAAACTAAGAAGAAAGGCAAAAAAATATTATAAAGAAAAATAAATTCTTTAATTTAGTTTTTTTTTTTTTTTTTTGTAAAAAAAAACTTTTTAGCCAAAAATATTTGCTAAAAGAAAATATAACAACGACCATACATATAAAGTTCCTAAGAAACTAAAAATTTTAAACAAATATACAAACAACAACTAATTTTGTTTTTTTTTAAGGCAAAATAAATAAAATTAATAATTTTTTTTTTGTTTCTAAACTAAACATACATTTAAGAAAAATTTAAGAGAAAAAAACGCGTTTTTTTTTTTTTTTTGTACACAGACGAGTAATAAAAACGCTAAAATGCTTTGATTGATTTACGAAATAATGAAATGATAAATGTGAAAAGACCATACAATAGTTAAAGAGATATAATTATTATAAAATATAGACATTAAGCCATGAAATCAAATGGAAAAATGAAACAGTTATAAATGTGTAAATGATGAGCTGATGAATGAAATGTTTTTGAGTTGTGTTTTTACTAAATAAATAACAAAATGTGTGTTAAAGCAATCTTTAGATAAAATAAAACCATGTTTTAAAAAAGTGTGTTTTTTATAGAAAAAAAAGAAAATAAATTTGAGCTAAGTACCTTGTTAGGAGCCGTTTGTAGACCATGGAAGGGCAAATTCTCATACTCTCCAGGTTCCGTTAATGGATCCGCCATAGAAGACGACTTCTCTTGTACTGCTGTTGACAAATTCATATAAAAACAACAGCATTTTTTCCAGTTACAGTAACAAGAGGTTGTTCACACGGGTTCAGATTTTTTTCAAGTTATAGTTCAAGTTGTTGTTGTGGTTGTTGTAAAGTAGTTGTTATACATTATATAGTATAAGTAGCGCGTTATTGGTATTTATTTTCAATATGGAGTAAATAAAAAATTTTCAAAAAAAAAAAAGAAATAAATTAAGAACAAAATTATTAATATTTTAAAGTAAACTAAAGTATAAAAGATATTAAGTTAAAAATAATTAAAATTAACTTAAGTTATAAACTTATAAAGGAACAGAAATTTTCGATAAAAATCATTAAGTAGTTAAAGAGTTTTTTTTCTCAATTTAAAGAGAAATTAAAGAATTTAAAAATTTTCTTAATTTTCTTAAAATTTGCTAAAACTGTTTTAGTTTTCTATATTAACCACTTAATGATTGTACTTCTTAAGTTAAAAAATCTATTTAAATAAACTTAACCCTTAAATGAAAACAAAATCAAAATTATTAAAAGAAAATCTTAAAAAAAAAAAAAAAATTCTTAATTTTTTAAAAACTGGTGTTAATTTTTTTTCTGTTTTTAGTAAAGAGAAAACATATTTTATAAAAAGAACAATCATGCTTTTTTTTCATCACTAAAACACAACAATTATATTAACTTAATTAAAGAAAACACATCTATATAAAACTAAATTTTAGTAAAAATTTCAAACAAAATTTTTAGAATCATAGATAATAAAGAATTTAAACAAAAAAAGACAATATTTTTGTAAAAAAACTTTCAAACTTAGATGCCAATATGACACTTAAACAGCTGTGTCAATAATAGATCCTGTATAAACTACTGAAGAAAAAGTATCACTGAAGAATATTAAAAACTAACCAAATCTTATATCGAATGAGTTCCCTAAATGTTAATAGATGTGATAAGGTTTATACGGTTCTAAAATGATGTTATTGATACGGCGGGCAAAGTTTGCCCATGCCAACCAAAAAAAGCTTTAAGTTGAATTGAGAATTATGCACGATCTCTTTGCAAAATCATTGAAAGCTAATCAAGCAGAAATTCTAAAACCTTTGCAAAAGCTGGATTCGTCTAAAAGCCGGGAAATTGGGTAACGTTCAATTTGAATTAATGCTGGAACGCTATAAAAAGGTACTCTTGTGTAAGCATACGATCGTTTATATTTTAGTAAAGGTTTCTATGTGATCCCGATTGTGTCATAGAGTTGTCCGCCCATTTTCAAAAAAGCTCGATGATAAGCAAATAGATGTAGCTAAGGAACCTTCTGCTTGAATACTATGAAAGATGAAGAGAGTTTTGTATCGAATCATTACTATTGGATCTATTACTATAAGACGAAGTAAGAGATCGGCTAAACAGTAACAGTGGTAAAACGACCAAAACATACGTCCTGATATGTTCGTCATGACATATAGCAAAAGCAATTTTGAAAGAAGTGGTAGGAAAGTATTTTCTCATTCCGCTTATAGTCAAGACTTTGCCTTGTCAAGCTTTCGATCGTTGCAGAATGCTTTCTCTCTAAGATATGCTTCACTTCAGAACATGGACAGAAATATCAAAAATCCATGGCGTTATGGTAATGTTAAGTATGTGATAGAACCATAACAGTCCTATGACTTATGAGATGCTGAAATTTGATCTGGCCATCATAGGAAAACTGATACGATTGCAAAAGATTCATCCGAAGTGAGTATTAATGGTAAAAGGACCAAAAAAATGCGGCCTGATATATCATGACATATAGCAAAAACGATTTAGATAGAAGTGCTGGGAAAGCTTTCTCTTTTTCCGCTTATAGTCAAGATCTTGCCTTGTCAAGCTACTATTTGCTTCGATCGATGCAGAACGCTCTCTCAATGATATGCTTTACTTCAAAACATGTAATGTTAAGTATTTGGTGGAACCATAACAGTCCTATGAATTATGAGATGCTGAAATTTGCTCTGGTCATCATAGGAAAACTGATACGATTGCAAAAGATTCATCTGAAGTGAGCATTAATGGTAAAAGGACCAAAAAAATGCGGCCTGATATGTCCATCATGATATATAGCAAACACAATTTAGAAAGAAGAGGTGGGAAGGTTTTTTCTCATTCCTCTTATAGTCAAGATCTTGCCTTGTCAGACTACTATACTTCACTTCAGAACAGGGTATCCAACATTAGCTTGATTCGTTGTTGCTCTAAAAAGGTGACCAATTATTTTAGAACGAAATATATATGTTGACAGCAATTTGAAAAATGTATGAACATCCAATAGTGGACAATACTTTGTTTCATTCAAAATTTCAAAAAATACCCCATTTTTTTGTTGTAGTGCCTCGTCTTTGGTAACGCCAAAAATAAGAGCTTTTCAGATAATTGATTCTATTTGTTATCAAAGTTTACATGGACAAGCAGACAGACAGACGGATGGTTATAACTAAGTCAAACCTTTCCCAATGTTTGATTCAATTACTATCAAAGTTTACATAGGCAGACATACAGATAGTCAGACAGACAAAGAGATAGACAGGCATTCAGACGGACAGACAGACGGGATGGTTATAACTAAGTCGAGGCTTTTTCGATGTTTGATTCAATTAATATCAAAGTTTACATGGGCAGACATACAGACAGATGGCCAGACAGAGAGAAAGATAGACAGACAGACATATAGCCAGACAGAGAGATAGAGAAACAGATAGGCAGACAGACAGGCATTCAGACGGACAGACAAACAAAACAGATGGATGGTTACAGCCAAGTCGAACCTTTCTCAATGTTTGATTCAATTAATATCAAAGTTTACATGGACAGACAGACAGACGGATAGACAGACAGACAGACAGACAGACAGATGGAGAGACAGACAGACGGACAGACAAACTGATAGCCAGACAGACAGAGAGATAGATAGACAGATAGGCATTCATACGAACAGACAGAAAGACGGACAATTATAGCACTACTAAAAGTTCCTGTTAAGTTTGTTTTTTACAAAATTTGTTTAGCCAAAAAAAAAGACATTCTTATATATAAAAAAATTGTGTTTTTTAAAATAAAATTGAAACAAAATTAATATTTCTTATTAAAAGACAAAAAACAAATTGTATGTTAAACTTCGAAAAAAAAAACACAGCAAAGCAAAGTTAAGGAAGGCTTTTTGTTATTATTTTTTTTTTAATAGGGTTAGGCGAACAAAAAAACAAATTATTTTTTTTTTAATTACTTTGAAAAAACTGCTTACTTGTTTCTGTTGTTGTAGTTTATTTAATTGATTTAATAAATAGTTTTGTTCATTAAATATCATAAATATTTTGATCATAATTAAATAAGTACTTCACACGATGAAGAATTCAAGATTACTTACACAAAGAAATTACAACAATTATTAAGAAATGTGATTTTTTTTTTGAATTAGAGATGTTAAAATTTAACAACAACAATAAAGATAATAACATTTAAACGAAATAAATTAAAAGTTTGCACTATAAACAACAAATTGGTGAGGAGGGGGTAAATGTGTAAAGCTCAGAGGGGGTAGGAGGCATTTTAAGCACAATGTTTGGTTGGATAAGCTTAAGAAAAACATATACTTTTCTGAATGTAGAAGCAGTTAAAAGTTTGAGCTTTTACGTTGTAAAGGCCCAAAAGCTTTATGGATAAACTTTAAAGAGCTTTAAAATCATTTATGTTACCTAATATTTGTAAGTCTATTTTGACACATTAAACAAAATAATAATGCTAAAGTTTCAAAGAAAAATATTTGTAGACAAAAGCTTTATAGTAGCATTTAAAAAAGCTTTTTGTTAAATCAAATCCAAAAATGATAGTGATTGCTCTAAGAATGATGTTTATTATGAGTTTTCAAGAATTTTAAACTCTGCTTATGCTTCAATTTAAAAAGGCAAGCTTTTATATTACAACAAGCTTTTTGTAAGCTTTATGTGAAAGTCTCTATTTATCTTAAAAGCCTTGCTATACCAACCTCGTTTATTTGCTCAAGCTTTAAACAAGTTATTTATTAGTTTAAATTCATTTATAATTAAACCATTATTTCATGAATAGAGTCTAGAACTTGACGATCTTAAAGTAATAAAAAGGAAAGCTTTTACTAACAGAAAATATTTACATATATAGATGAATAAAGATAAGGATGACGTTTGATATGGCTTATTTACGAAAAGCTTTTTTAAACGACAGCTGAAAGACTTAAGTATTTTTAAGCTTTGAGGAATCTAAACTCCTCTTTTCTAAAACAAAAAAGCTTCCTAAGTTCTTCTTTTACAATATTTCAAAGAGCCTAAACTTTTCCAATAACTTCTCAAAAACTGCCTAAATGATGAAAAAGTTAAAATAGCTTGAAGCTTTTTGGAGAATTTTTATATGAATTTAAGATCATTTAGAAATCGATTTATTAAGCTCTTCTAAAGCTTTAGAGTATAGTTTTATAAAAGCTTTTGTTAGGAAATTTTCTAACTTTAATTTTGTAAGATTTAAAAGAGCTTTCGGGCTCCTTTCAAAAAGTTTATAGCATTATAGACAAATTGTTAAAAAATATAAAGCTTTTTATAATTTTCAAAATGTTTTACATAAGCTCTTGTTTAGAAATTAACTGACTTTAGTTTGTAAGATATAAAGAGCTTTCTTTTAAAAAGTTAAATTTGTTTCCTTTAAAAAGCTTTTTTAAAGTTTGAACTTGAACTTGTATTAGGTTCAAAACATTTTTAAAGCTTTTTCGGAATTATTGAAAGCTTTAGTTTATATTTGCAAAATATATTTTACTTTCACGTTTTGGAATAAAGCTTGAAAGCTTTTTTAAGACTTTTATTCTATATGAAACTTTTCTTAAAAGCTTTTGCTTTTTCCACCCCCTAAACTTTATACATTTTCTTTCCCTTTATAATAACTTTAACTAAATGAGAATTCTACCAATTGTTTCTGGAGCTTTTAGACTTTTATAATGACATGATTTTGTGAATGATTGAAATGAATGATGGAACAAAAAAGAAAAACTAAAACTGAAATGGAGAAAAAAAGAAAATTAAAAACCAAAAATCTTACTTTGAACTCTTTCGATTTTCTGCGATTTCTCCGTTTGACTGGCTGAACGCTTCAGGGGCGCAGCAGCCATTCGCATAATGGGAGGCGGCCGCGGTGGTGGTGTGGGTGCTTTCAGTATACCCTTGCGTTGTATCGAACTCTGACTGGGATTTCGTGATATTACGCGGCTCGACACTATAGTCGATGGTATAGATTGTATAACCGTTGTTACGGATCTGTCGTTGGGCATTATGGCGGCGACATGGCGTTCGTCTGCGGCTATGTTTTGAGGAGGGTGATTGATATTTAAGGAAGGCGACATTGAGATCACTGATACTGGTAATGGGTGTTGTTGTTGTTGAGGTTGTTCTTGTGTTGTTTGTGGAGTGTGTTGTATGGTTGTAGTCTTGACTGGTGTTTGTTGTTGAGCCTGTGCTGTGGTTGTGATCAGTCCTATAGTATTTAAGATTTCTGAATCATTGTTGTTGTTGTTGTTTTGAGATGTTATGCAAGTGTTGGTTGAGGTTGTAATGGTGTTGCAACTACTTAAGCTTGAGTCAGTTTTTCTGGCTGTGGTTTTAGCACATTTTTTATAAGTAACTAAGGTGATTGTTTTAAAAAATTAAAAATAAAATGAAATGAAAAGTATTTAAGCAAATTATAAAGAAAATTTAAAGCAAACTTATAAATGAAATTAAATGAAAATAAAAATAAAATTAATTATTACCACTGCCACTGCTGCGTATGCCTTTCAAACGATGTTCTGTGCTAAACGGAGATTTGCTCGATTGCTGCGAGGAGGCGGCCTCTGAACGTTTCCAAAATTTCCCACCCAATAAGCCCACATGACTTCTTTGACTGTCACGACAGCCATCGGTTTTAGTGGATCTTTTGAAAAACATATTACTAAAGAAAAGCTCTACTTTTTTCAAATTTGAAAGTTTAACATTCAAATGTGTTACTTCCGTTTCGTTTGAGGGATTTCCTTGATTAGTTGATATTTCCTGTTGTACTATATCCTCTTCATTGTGATGTGTACGAGTTAATTCCAAAGTATTTGTTTCCTCTGTTAAGGCATCTGTTGTTGTGTTTAAATTTATTACATGAGGTGTTGTAGTAACTGTCAAATTTGTTGCAATTGTTTGTTTACCTCTTATGGGTAAAGTTTGACATAATGATAATTGCTGTTTACTGCTGCTAACGTGCTCATTAGCCTCCACCTTAAGTGCTTGTAAATCTTGCTGGTCATGCAGTGGTTGTTGCTGTTGTTGTTGTTGCTGTATTCTAGCTTGTCTACCAATACGTCCCAGAGTCATGGTACCAGAAGATTGTCTAGTGACATTGAGTAATGTTGTTTGTGTTGTATTGGTGGCAGCACTATTATTAAGTGTTGATGAAGACACCGAACTGTCATTTACTGTCGAGTTGGCTGTCAAATTAGCCAATGTAGCAGTGGGTTTTAAAGTCATGCGATTAACGGCTAAATTTTCTTTAGTATCACTGCTAACATGCACCATAACACCGGGTCTCAATGGCCAGCGGGGTGGTGATTTGGGTATCTGTGCACCCTCACCGCCTAAACGTACACTTAATGTGGGTGTTGTAACTAAAGTGGTTGTTATTGTTGTTGGTGGTGTTGTAACAGTAGTGGAGGTGTTGTTGCTAGTAGTTGCAGTTGTTGTGCTATTTATTATATGTTGCAATATATCTGTATTATTTGTATTATTATTATTGTTGTTGTTGTTGCCACTACCACTATTGCTACATGTTAATGTTTTTGTTGCTGTGGTGTTACTTAAATGTTTTGTAAGTATGGGCGTTGTTTGTATGGGTGTTGTTGATTGTGTTGCTGTTGTTTGTATCATAATGGGTGTTGCTTTTACACTGTTGACATTATCCTTACATTGTTGACCACCGGCCATGGCCGGCAGTAACATATTGCTTATAATGGGCACCTTAAGTGTATCGGGCAATACCGTATTGGCTGATAACACTTGCGGCATATGCGGTTGATATGATAAAACACTTTGGTTTTTTATTATGAATTTTTATGCATTTTTTGTTAATGTTTTTTTTTTATTCAATGGCAGTTTGTGATGAAATTGTTTGGTTATTGATGATATTTTTTTTATTGTATTTGTGGTAATGATGTTATGTTTTTTAAAAAATTATTGTTTTTTTTTTTATAACAAAAAAGCATTTACAACAAGCCACAACATATTTTAAACACATACAACATACAGGTTTACATAAGCCAAAATTTATATATTGTTTTTTATTTTGTGCAATTACATTGTTTAACAAATGAAACGAAATGAAAAAGATTAATAAAAAATCAGAAATTAAAATTAAAAAAAAAAATTTACAAAGAAAAAAATTAAGCTTAATTAAACTACACAAAAAGCTAAAGAAAAAACTTGAAATTTCAAAGTAATGTATACAATTTAAAAGACCCTTCTCTAGTATCCTTGGGATCTCAAGGTGTTGGGCCCATTAAGGGCCACTTGTGCTTAAAGATTAAACCTTTAAAAACCATATTCTTGAAGTTTTACTTATTACAGCTGTAATAAGTTAAACTATGCAATAATCAATTATTGTGACCTTTGACCTTGAATATGAAAGTAAGAAAATCATTGGTTACTTTGAGAAAATCATTGACTTCTTTCATAGTTTAGTAATATCCGTCTGTCTTTATAAATTTTGTCATTATTATGGGATGTTCATCAATATATTACGTGACACTATCAACAGTGTTGAGACTATATGAGATCTTCTATTCTGCTCATATCTAATGCTCTGATAACAACTCCCACTATGGTGTTATTTATTTATTTATTTATTTATATAGTGAAGACTGAAGACTTTGAGGTATATAACCCTACTGAAGCTAATCTAAACTTCTATTATACTAAAAGGATTCAAAATGGATTCTAGTGCTTATCGAGTGGAGTAGATGCTTGCGGCATACAACACTTCTCCAACCATTTATTGTTCAACAGCTCGATCACAGAGGTTAACTTATTTTCGGCATTCAGTAGGTATTCAGCTGATAAGGTTCAATCTAAGACCTTATTGTACTGTAAAAGACCATAATGGAATACTCAGGTTAGCTTTGCATAATATGACTATCAGGCCACTTGTCAGAGATCGAAAAGAAAGTGCAAACGTATTCGCTTTAAAGGTAAGAGTAAGTTAATCAGATGAATGCAAAAGCTTTCCCAGCTGAATTACAAACATGAACGAGGGAATCCCATACGACTACTTGAAATAATAAACTGTTGCTTACAACAACAAAGATTCTATGAAATGACTAAAACAAGAGCAGAATGACAAGTCTCCTTTGAATGATGATACGTACTCTTTGTGAACTTGCAGGTTTAGTTGCACAACTATACAATAAATGAACAAACGGATTAAGACAAATGTAGAGCAAGTTAGGCTTTCATTGAAATTAGATTCAAATAACTTGATAGCGTTGTTTTTCTAAATCCATGATCCAAATTATAAGGATATTTGTTCAAGAAACTGTGTTTCAGAATATTGAACGATCATTTTTTTTTTCATAGATCACTCGAAAATTAGCGCACAATATATACAATCTCTTTTTAACCTAACCTAACTTTTGATAAGTTAAGAATAATAGCAAAATTTTATTAACTGTAAGATCCCTATACGTATGAGCAACATTTGTAATAGCTTCTAAACTTAATTGTATATTTATACACAATTTATAAAGGGTTTCTTGATAAATTTGTTAAAAAAATTTAAAGTGTCAAGATAAAACAGGTGCTCCCAGACGTATGACATTATATTTTATTAAATAATACTCATACGCCTTAGTAAACGTGTTAATTGAATAAACCGTAAATTATTAAAGATTTAGAAGAGAATTCTAACGTTCGCTTAAGCTGTGCTCTGAGAGACTTTGGCGTTAAATTGGTTTTCAAGTTCAACATAACCTTTAGACAACATTATGTTCTCTACACTAAGGCGTATTAGTACTCTTATTTCTAATAGCTTCTTAACTTTAATGATCATATAAATCATGTAATTTATTTATGATATATAACATTTGTACTTCATATATTCTTGAAAAAGTTGAGATTTTTCAAACTAAGCTCGAGCACCAAGACGTATGAGATTTTATTATATTGAAGAATACTCATACGCCTTAGTGTACGCGTTAATTTAATAACCCGTTAATTATAAAAGATTTTCAAAAGATTCTAGTTGAAAGTGACCCCTGGAAGATTAGTGGAGAATAGTGGTTACTGTTCTTTTCTGGTAGACCGGAAGTGGTGGGTTCGATTCACACCTGATGCATAGATTAAGGAGCGCACAACAGGCCTGACCTAGGTCCCTGGTTTATTTCTTCTGATTTGATGTACATATCTATATACATCCTCCTTTCAAAGTCGCTAACTAGTTGAAAGTGTTCAAAAATGCCATGTACACCAAGGCGTATGAGATTATTTTATATTGAATAACACTCATACGCCATACATAAATTATAAAAAGATTTTGAAAGCTGTGCTATTACGGACGTTGATGTTAAACTAGTTATTTAGTTAAAAGTGTCCACAATAAGCAGGTGCACCAGGGCGTATGAGACTGTGTGGTATTGAATAATAATCATACGCCTTAGTAAACGTGTTAGTTTAATAAAATGTGAATTATTACAGATTTTCGAAGTAAAATCAAATTGTTGTATTAAGTTGTCTAATTTTCTTTAAAATATCTATTTTTTCCATTAAATTCATAAAAAATGTAAATTAAGCTTGCACACCAAGGCGTATGAGATTATTGTATATTGAATAATACTCATACGCCTAAGTATACGTAAATTATTAAGGATTTTGAAAGCTGTGCTATTAAGGAAGTTGACGTTAAACTAGTTATCCAGTTAATAGTGTCCACAATAAGCCGGTGCACCAGGGCGTATGAGACTGTGTGGTATTGAATAATAATCATACGCCTTAGAAAACATGTTAGTTTAATAAAATGTGAATTATTAAAGATTTCCGAAGTAAAATCAAAAGTAAATTCAAATTGTTGTATTAAGTTGTCTTATTTTCGTTAAAATATCTAGTTTTTTTCATTCTCATAAAAAATTGAGAATATTGAAAATAAGCTTGCACATCAAGGCGTATGAGATTATTTTATATTGAATAATACTCATACGCCTAAGTATACGTAAATTATTAAGGATTTTTAAAGCTGTGCTATTAAGGAAGTTGACGTTGTCTAGTTAATAGTGTCCACAATAAGCCGGTGCACCAAGGCGTATGAGACTATGTTTTATTGAAAGTAATCATACGCCTTAAGAAACATGTTAGTTTAATAAAATGTGAATTATTAAAGATTTCCGAAGTAAAATCAAAAGTAAATTCAAATAGTTGTTTTAAGTTGTCTAATTTTCTTTAAAATATCTAGTATTTTCCATTAAATTCATAAAAAATTGGGAATATTGAAAATAAGCTTGCACACCCAGGCGTATTAGATTATTTTATATTGAATAATACTCATACGCCTAAGTATACATAAATTATAAAAAGATTTTGAAAGCTGCGCTATTAAGGAAGTTGACGTTAAACTAGTTATCTAGTTAATAGTGTCCACAATAAGCCGGTGCACCAGGGCGTATGAGACTGTGTGGTAAAATATCTAGTATTTTCCATTAAATTCATTAAAAAATGGGAAATGTTCAAAATAAATATGTACATCAAGGCGTATGAGATTATTTTATATAGAATAACACTCATACGCCTTCGTATACGTAAATTATTAAAGATTTTAAATTCATTAAAAATGAGAAATGTTTAAAATAAACATGTACATCAAGGCGTATGAGATTATTTTATATAGAATAACACTCATACGCCTAAGTATAAGTAAATTATTAAGGATTTTGAAAGCTGTGCTATTAAGGAAGTTGACGTTAAACTATTTAAGAGTGTCCAAAATAAGCCAGTACACCAGGGCTTATGAGACTATGTTATATTGAATAATGCTCATACGCCTTAGTATGGTTATCGTGGTAGTTCACTGCGCGCGAACAGTCAAGTAGAGTCGAAGAGATTCCGTTTGGAATACGCCTTAGTATATGTTTTAAATTAGTAAACCGTAAATTATTAAAGATTTCAAAGTAAATTGAAGTTACGCTATTTAGTTGCCTTTGAAATTTCAAGTTTTTTTTTTTTTTCTTTAAAACAGTTAAATTACTTGATCTAGTAAACAAAATTACAATAATTAAAAATTTGCTTACCTGTGTGTAGCACTCATAGAAACATCAGTTCGATCTTTTAGTTTTTTTAAAAAAAATTTCAACAAAATTTTGTTTTTGATTTGTTTTTTTTTTTTTAATTTAAATTAATGTTTTTTAACAGAAAACAATGTTAAAACGCACATGATGAAGCATTGATTTGAATGATGAGTTTTATTTGCAACGTTTTTTTTTTTTTTTTGTTTTATTTAAATTTATTAACATTAGTTGGGCATGTTTTTGAGGTTAATTAAATAAATTTGTAGTTGTTGTTATATTTATATTTTTTTTTTGTAAAAGTTTAGTTGCAAGCAAAAAAAAAAATGTAGAAAAAAATTAAAGGTTTGAAAATTTAACATAAATATTTATTTAGGCACCAAAAACATAAAAGGAAAAACACACAAACACATGAAGAAAAAACAAGTAAAAGCCAGTTTTGGTTTACA